GGCATTTGAATATGTTCACATTTACTATTTTTATTTATGTTTGTTATATGTATATATATACTAGGAGTAATTCATGTCTAAAGACACTCTCCACTATAATCTAGCCTAATCTAAACCAGACATCAAAATTTTAAAATTGGAAATAGAAATACATTAAATCTTAACCTTTTGATCTTACAGACAACCATTGAATCTTCTCTTTAGAATTGATTTGAGCCATCTAAATGTCCACATAGGACAAATATATCTAACACATTTTCAAAACCAACATTGCTCTATTATGTAGATATACATATTTAAAATTTTATTTTAAAAATAAATGAGATGATTATTGAAAGAGGTTGTTGGTGATAGGTGATAGTTAAAAGTTAAAAGTTGGCTGTCCACGATTGAAGGCGATGAAGACTCACATGTGATGGTATTGGGGAGGAGTAGGTGAAAAACTGTTTACAAAATAATAGAAAACATATTTCATTGAATTTGATAAATTTTATTTTTTTTAAATAAAAATTGACATGAAATTAATTTTTATTTTTATTTTTAAAATTATATATATATGAAATAAAAAATTATAAATAATAAACATTATTAAACACGCTCTAATAATTTGCTTTGCATTTATATTTGAGAAAACTTATGAATCGGCATTCTCTCAAGTTCAAATCTAAACTTGAGAGAACTCAAAGGGCCCAAAGAACTCAAAGGGCCCAAAGAACTCATCATGAGTCATGTTTCATTGATCTGATCAATTCATTTTGTAAAATCCTTAATGTATATCATTCATGAAATAAATTAGGTACATATAATAATCATAACATTTTTATTTTGTCACGCTTGTCTCTGAAATACTTGATGCCAAGTATGTTTTTGAAAATAGACTATCTATTTTTTAAAAAACAAAAGTAATAAAATGAAAAAATTACGATTATCAATTCGACTTCATTTTTTTCATTAATGATATATAAAGTTCATGTGATGCGATAAGTCTTTTCCATACCACTATCTTTCATATTCTTCAATACTTCATTTTGTGAACACTATCTCGGACCTACAACAACAATCAAAACCGTACGTCCTGTAAACCTTGCAATGAAAACTATCTATACAAAAAATAAATTTCATCAAATATCAATGAATAGATGAATAAATTGCATTTAAAAAGGGTATGAAAGACAACAATGTGGAGGGGATCCATTCCTCATACTCAGAAAAATGTGATTTATTAATGTAATTTTATGAATACATTTCAAAATAATTTTTGTTGTAGCATTGTTGTTATATTTTCCTTTGCAATACTATATCCTCCAACTAAAAAAAATTGTAAAAATCTTTCTTTAATAGTTGTATTATAATACTTACAAAATAGTTGTATTACAGATGAAAATCTTTCTGATCCAATTTAAACACACACAAAAAATTTACACCAAGCAAATGAATGAACTTGTACTATTCACAGAAGACTTATACTACCATAAAAATACAATTATTTTTCCACCGGTTAAAATGTAATTTTCTTAAAATAAAAATAAAAATAAAAAAATAAACAAACAAATCTGAAGAGAAAGATAATGAAAAGAATCTCCATTTTATTACGCCACCACACAATAATATTTGCCAAAACGAAAAGGAAAAAAAAAAAATTTATTGGCCTATCTTTACTTGCTACGGTACAAATCCCTGTTATTGGTCAATTTTAACGTGTCTTTTTCAGCATAATTATTTCAGCCACACAATTTTCCGTTAAGGGAATTTTATAATACTTTTGTTTTTTAGATATATTATACATACATTATGAGATTTTATAATTTTAATACCATTTCGTCCTATAATTAAGTTATTTTTAGCCATAACTAAAGTATCATATTAGATCATAATTAAAAACCATTTTTTTACAAGTAAAATAATCATAACAATTGATCAGAACTAAGTTATAAATAATATCACAATGAGTGGTAAAAAAAAAATAATTATGTATTATTGAATTTTTTTTACGTTATGTGAACAATTATATTGGTTGTAAGAGAATGATTTTGCTACAGATATTTTGTGAGAGTTGCTATTTAGACGGAGATATTACAAGAGTAATTACAATCCTAATGCAATTTTGAATATCTTTTCGACACACTTTATAATTATTCTTTTTTTATACATGTTTTCCATAATTTATAGATATATCATGACCTTCCAACTGCATTTTCTCAAAAACGGAATGGCATTTAGGTGTAAATTTAGGGAGATGTTACAATGTGCATCCTCAAAAAGGTGCATATGGTATGCCTTTCATAACTTTTTCACAAAATTTAATAACTTAAACCCAAAGTGTCATAACTTTTTCACTATAAAAATCATAACTTTTTTTCTATTGAAAAACGTCATAATAAAATTTCAAAGTGTCATAACAAAAATCACAAAATGTCATAACATTATCATTCTTAACTTTAAGGTGCGCATTATAAATTCACTATTTATAACTTTACTACAAAATGCCATAACATACATTACAAACAATCATAATATTCATTATAAAAAATCGTAACTTTTTTACAATGTACACCATTTAAAAGAGTGCACCTTGTAAATTTCTCCGTAAATTTATCATGTCAAACCAAAAGTTTCACCTCTTTAGTATAACTAACAAATGTATTGACCCTTTTAGAAGTGTCTTAAATGTATTGACCATTAGGGCAATTGATAAGTTACTTAATGGAACAATTTCATAGGGGACACTCGGCATCCACACAATTCTTCTCTTAAATAACATGACGAGCAAAATTTGAAAATTAATGTTTTTTCAAAATATTCTTTACATGAATTATATATTGTCACCTCATTCAGGGATTGTGAGAGAAAGAAATTGAATGAATGTAACACTGTTGGATTGGATACTCTAATTTGATGGTTATTAATTTATGTAATAAAATTTAGGGAAAATTATATTAAAGATATCAAAGTTTGAATCCTACAACAAAATAAGCCTTGAGTTTTTAATTTTGTTATTTTAAATTCTCATCTTATGATTTATTTTCAATGTAAATTATTTGTCATGTAGCGATTTTAGTTTAGACCCAATCCGTTGATGTTTTGGATTCGGGTTTCATTGTCTTCTATGATTGTTTATGTTTTGTTTCTCCTTATTCCTCATTGAGTTTAGTTATTGGAGTGTCTCGGTTGCATTTAGAACAAATTGATAGCTTGTTTCTCAAAATTGTTGTTGTCCAGAATTTTGCCTCTTCACTCAAGCAGTGATTCTTGCGCTCGAACAGTCTTTATAAACTTCCAGTACTTTTACAGGTCTACAGAGACATTAGGAGATGACATTTTTTTGTTTTGAAGCGGTCTTTCCTGCGCTCGAGCGGTGTTAGCTTGAGCGGTATTTCTTGCACTCAAGCGAGGGTCCTCTGTCTGTAAAACTTCTGAGAGTTTGTATTATACGCTTGAGCAGTCACTTACTGTGCTCGAGAGGTCCTACTTATTGTATCTAGTTGCTCAAGCGACACTTTCTGCGCTCAAGTGGTCTGCGCGTATATCAGTCCGTAAAGTCATATTTTTGGCTCACTTTTTCATCTCTCTTTCTCTCTCTAAACATTTCAAAACCCTAAATTAAGACACTCTCTCTCTAAAACTCATATTCTCTTTACAAAAATACATAGATCTGTTGGTTTCTCCACCCTAATCCCTTTGTTAAAAAGGTAAAGCACACCGGGAGCTTCTTTTTAATCAAAGCAAAGTTGGTTTTCGGTTTCGTTGAGTTGCAATCCTTGTCCTTCCTTGTCTTCTAGCTTGAGGTAGGGATATCTTTGCACTTTCTTACAATTTTTAATTTAGTTATTTGTGTTTTGAAATTATATTGTGATTTTGGGATTTTTGGACAAATCTAGGGGTTTTGTTTGAAATCAAAAGAGGGGTTTTCAAATGAATTGTTGGAAATGATTGAGGAAATGTATTTATTGTGGAGTTATGATAAAAAGATGAATTTTTATCCTTGGGATTAGTTTATAAAGAAAAAGGAGATTTTGTCCTAAATTTATCGAATGTTGATTTTGTAATGATAAATGGAATTGATGTTAGAAATGTGGAATTGGATTGATGTTGATGACAATGGCAGAGTTGGATATGCATTATCACTCCCATCTTGAGATTTTCGGAAAGTTTATTTTTATGAAAATTATTTATCTGTTTAGAGATATCTGTTTTGAGCTATCGGTAGAGGATAACTATAATTGTTGTATAAATTGCATGAGAATTAGATAAATTGAAACTAATTTCTGATCCGTTTGCATTGAGTATTGTAACATACTTTACACATGGAAAATGTTATTGTTTTGAGAAAAATGAGTGAATACCTTGGTGAATCTGGGTAGGAGTGTAGATGTGGTATTATGTTGGTCAATGTGTTCTCAGTGAAGGTCCATAAACCCGCACGGTTAGGTGTCGAACCTTCTGGTTAATATCAGCAAACATGACAAATTGGTAGTACTTGTAGCCTTTTTGCAGACACGTCCTAGAGATTCCTAGTGTTGCATTCACTGTCCTTCTATTGTAAAGAAATGGTTTTATGAATTGTGATATAACCTAACATTGCATGGTTTTGGAAATAGATGTAAAATATTTTGATACGAACATTACATTTGTATTCATCTTATATATTTGTTAAGATTCATAAGCTGTGTCAGAGTATTTTTACTGGGTTTTGACTCATCCTATGAAGGAAAACTATTTTCAGGTGTTAATAATATATCTCTGCCAAGATAATAACTTGGGAGGACTTAGAGCTGAAGGCTTTTTTTTTTTTGTATATCGTTGTATTTATTTTATACAAATTTAGGACTTAAACTGTATTGAGCATAAATTCACTTCTTGTTTGGGAATTTATTTTTTTGGAAAATCCCTCTGTCAGAAAACACTTTTAAAGTTGATTTTCTTTACCATAAAAAACTATTTTTACAACGAAACGAGATCATAAATATTCATTAACTTTCCAATTTTTTTCAGAAAAAACACACACATGAAAACATACCAAAGAGATGAGGCCACAGGTTGCTTACAAGCCATTAGACAATTTATCACCACACAATTGTCTTCTAGTTTCCCTCCCCCTATATATAGCCCTGTCTCTATATACACTTTTTGCAGAGACACACACACAAACAATGGTTCATTTGGTTTCTCTATCCAAAGCAATGCTCTTCCTAACCACATCAACAATTCTTCTATTATCAGTCTTTCTCTCATCAATTGATCAGATTAAAATTGTCTCCGATTTGTTTCAAACCCAGAAGTTATCTGCTAGTGACAAGCATATCATTCCAATTGTGGACGCAGTTGGGCCTGAGAGCTTGGCCTTTGACCCACACGGCGGAGGTCCATACACGGGCGTATCGGACGGCCGGATCATCAAGTGGCTACAAAATGAACGGCAGTGGATTGGTTTTGCTGTGACCTCTCTGCATAGGTATGCCCTTCCTTATCATCATTATCAACCTTCTGCATTCATATTCATTTAGTACGGAAAATTATTAAATACTTACAGAGTAAGCATGTACTATAGTCTACATAGTAAGAATAGTAGGCGGGTTAACTTTTGTTTCTTAATTTGTTAATAAAGGTGAATCAATATGTATTTTTTTATAAATTTTTTTATTACTTGATTAATTTAAAATTATATAAATAATATCACATAATATTTTAAAATTACTTGATATTATATCCTAGGAGGACATTGAACTGGTAGGTAGGCGTGCAATGGCAGATTTTGGAGACTGGTGGTTACCAAAAAGTAAAAAAATATATACATACATACTCAATTGTAAATATTGTCTTTACAGGCTTTGTGTTCGAGTTTGAGTAAAAAAAAAACAACATTTTCAAAGAAGGAATGTTGTGTACACTTTGTTCCTCTCATATTATGTTTTAGCATAAATTGTGTATTTGAGTGTTTTTTTTTTTTTAAACCACAAATGCTTTAATAGCCCAGAAAATATTTCAAAAAAAGCGTTTAATATTGAAATATAACACAGATTTAACCTCGATGTAGTGTGCATTATGTACAAAATAAATTTGATTTATACATTTCAAATTTTGAGTTCTTAAATAGGCAACATAATTGTTTTTTTTTTTTTTTTCTTTCCCCTCTCTCTCTTAATTTTATCCCAAATATATATGCCAATTCTAAATAGGGGTAGCTAATGGATTTGCTTGACCACATAAGGGTTGTAATGAAGCCTTCAATCCCTGAGGGACCTAATTTTCCTGGTGGGGTCATATGTTATGTATTTAAAATGTTTTTCATATGCACCACTTTTCAAAGACATATGTTTCCCTCTCTTATTAGATTTCATCCAAACAAGTTTTAAAATAGTAATGCTATATATGCAGAAAATCTATGCATAAAAACTCTCACGGGAAGGAAGATCCATACATGTGAGACTTATATGAGACCTATTTTCATATGAGAGTTTCTATACATTTTGTGCATAAATTTTCTGTGTAAAAATAGTATTTCTCTAAGAACATATTCATTGAATGGAGGAAATATTGTTTAACAATTTTTCAACTACTTAAATGACGACAGAAACTTTAATTAGATTCTTGGAGTTCATCTAATTAAACCAAAAATCAATAAATGAAGGTGATTTCTGTAGCCACTTTTAATAACTACACTACTTGAAAATGCAACAGAAACATTTAATTGAAATAAAAATTGAACAATGCAACAAAACAAATAGAACATTATGTGAGGATAACAACATTTGAACCTACGACTTTTTACAATCAAAACTATTTATGTCATGTTAGGTCATCAATTATTTTAAACCTATATTTATTAAGAAATGCATTCAACAATGTAAATCTAGCTAAGGGTGTACAGGGATCGGATTGATCCAGTTTTATAATAATCTAGGAATCGAACCATTTTTTATGGTTCTAGAAAAGTTGGAATCATAACTGAACCGTCAACATGTGGAAGTGGACCAAAACCGAACCATAAAAACTAGTTTGGTTCAGTTCGGTTTACGATTTTAGGAGTTTTATATAATAATAAATATGATATGTATTTTATGTTAACAAACAAATTAATAATAATTATTTTGGTTAAATTAGTTAGAGTTTATCAATTTTACAATGATGGCTAGTGTTCAAATCTTATAAAAAAACATTTTATATTTTAATTTTTTATATAAAAAATAATAAACAAATATGTCACGGTCCGGTTCAGAATCGTAACCAAAGGTTTGAACCGAGAACCGGATCGATTTGAATGGTTTCACCATTTTCAGAACCATAACTATTACTGAAAAAATCAGACCAAACTGGCAGTTTGGACCGGATTGGATCAGTTTACCGGTTCCACTTATTTTTTTGAACATCCCTAAATCTAGCTAACAAAAATAGGATGGGAAAATATATACAAAATGATATGGAAAATTTGTATCTGTTCATTTCCAACCAAAAGATCAGTCAAAGTGGTTTATTATTTCAAAAAACATTACTATCGTATCATTCTGAGATTTTTTTTGTTTATAATGTTTATGGTTGCAAATCATTTCCTTTAATTTGATTAGAAGAATGGAAAAACAGAAAGTACATCTACAAACAACATGAATGAACTGGAATGCTATTACAGAAGATTACAAAACCTTTTACATATTCTCACTTCTTGTTCTTTCCAATATTGGAATGGAATGTTATAGCTCTATTTTCTTCTAATTTTGACCTCAAAAAGGCTTCATGGGCCTGGTTAGCCCAAATAAAGCAGTTAATTAATCCAAATTTTGCATCCCACACCCTTGTAAGTATTGTTAAAATAAAATAAAAAAACAAAATTGATAATTTAATTTGTATCACGATGTTTTCTCTAATAAGAGGTCAGTGAATAGTAGAAGCTACCCCACTACCACTGGGGTTTTCGAGCCCCCAACTAACCATATGTCTCTTTTATTTAAACATTATAAAATCCCAATTCACATTTATTTTGGTTTCAGAGATGGCTGTGAAGGTTCACATGACCATGAACAAATGGAGCACATTTGTGGGCGCCCATTGGGCCTCCGGTTCGACCAAAGGTCCGGCCATCTCTACATTGCCGATGCATATATGGGCCTTGCCGTTGTGGGCCCTGAGGGTGGCTTGGCCACCAAGGTTGCAACAGAGGCACAAGGGATTCCTTTCGGGTTCACCAATGGTTTGGACATTGATCAGAGAAGTGGAGTAGTGTATTTTACCGACAGCAGTTGGCGTTACCGGAGGAGGTACATTCCTATCAATTTTATTTTAGATTAATGAATTATTCACATAATTTTTCCCCTCTAAATCTTTGAATGAGGGGAGGGGGATGCAGAGGGAAAAAATTGTGTAGATGAATCATTATTGTTTATTTTATTTGCTTTTGTTTTTGTTTTTTTGTTGAGTGGTGAGTAGATGGGACTAAGCCCATTACCAAATTGTTACATGTTTAGAATTAGGAATGCAATTCAAGCGGGTTGAGAGGTTATTTACACCTAGTCAAAGTTGTGTTGAGAGCTATCTTGGCTCGCCTAAGTTTGAATTATAACCCAAGGTCGTTTGCTCAAGCTCGACACGAGTTAGGCTTGAATAAGTTTGAATTATAACCCAAGGTCGTTTGCTCAAGCTCGACACGAGTTAGGCTTGAATCATACAAGTTGCCTGGATTGTTCGAATTATATATAAATCTGATTTTTTTTCCCTTTGTTTTAGTGTAGCTAAGTTAATTAATTTGTTAAAATTAAATTCTATTTATATATTTTTTTAATGAAATCATTAATAATATTAAAATAAATAATTTATATAATGTGAGAGATCAGAATTAAGTAACCATTATATTGTTATAGTGGTTTTTATGATTTCATAATGAGAAAATAAAAATATACGATTTTATTTTGCCAAACTTGTATATATAATATATTCAATATGATCTAACAATCTAAATTACTTTCATATTATCAAATAAATAATAATTCATATGTATATTTAATAAGGGAGCCCTTATTCCCACTTCAATTTGCTCTAAATACATTTCTTTCTTTTTCATTTATTATATATAGTTACATTAATATCCTTTTATACAAAATATACTCTCTAAAAAAATCAAAATTTTAAGGGTATTAATGTAATTATGTATAATAAGGACAAAGAATGGAATATATTTGAAAAAAAAATGGCATGAGAATAGCATCTCCTTTTAATATATATATATATATATATAATTCGGACTTTGAAATGATACTCGATGTGTTTGGTGTCGTTATCCAAACCTGTTCAAATTGAATTCAAGTTTCTAAATTCATGCTGAATTTAAAAATATTTTATCTAAATCTTAAAAAAAATTCAAACTAAACTCAAATTGCTTGGTTCAACCTGCCGGAGTTACACTTCTATCCAAAATTAGTGAAGTATAGTGGGGGCGTTTGTTTGACTTTTTTTGAGCTAACTTATAGCTTTTAACTTTGAAAAAGTTATTTTGAACTGTTTGGTTAAACTTATTTCAAACAGCTTTTGATTCTAACAACTTATTTTAACTTAAAAAAGTTGATTCTGAGAAGCTATTCACTTTTTACTTTTGATTATCAGTTTCTGCTGTGGATATGTTAATTTACAGTTATACTCTTAGATTTTTAAATTTTTTTAAAAAAAATAAAAAAAAGACCCAAATGGATTATAGATTATTATTATTATTATTATTATTATTTATGAGAACTGTAGACAAGTAGTAAATAACAAAAAATAAAAATTAATTGAAAAAGCTACTTTACATCTTATTTAACAAACATTACTCAACAATTTAAATTTATAATCCAACAATTACACCAAATAAATTAACAAATTTTAACTAAAGTCATAATGTATAATCTGTTAAGTTATAATTTATAATCTATTTTAATAGTTACACCAAACACATCTACTCCAGTGGAGGCAGGTCCATGTCAATTGATGTTTCATGTGAAAGCAAGATGGTGAATCGGTGGATTACCTTTTTAATTCACTGTTAAGTGGGCTGGGAATTTTGTTCTTTATTTTTGGGAGTGCTGCCAAAGGCCCCCCACTTTTTTTCTTAGGACACCCCACTTCGATTCCCCGCCACCAAGCAAACATTACTCAACAATTTAAATTTATAATCCAACAGTTACACCAAATAAATTAACAAATTTTAACTAAAGTCATAATGTATAATCTGTTAAGTTATAATTTATAATCTATTTTAATAGTTACACCAGACGGACCAGTATAGGATGGGCTGACTTCAGGTCTGAGGCAGGCTTTTAGGTACCCACTTCTTAATTTAGCACATTCCAAGTGTTTGGATGTAGCCAAAAATAAAAGAAAAGTGTGTTAGGCTTTTGAAAAAGTTCTTTTCAAACATTGCTAGTTTTGGAAAGTCCAGCAAGTTTGAAGTTCATGTAGGCTTAGCTTTAACAAAAAGAAGAGGCTTTCCTCTTGGACTAGTGTGTCCAGGTGAAGGGGGCTCACTCAAGCCCATTTTAATTATCAAATTGTTTATCTTGCAAGTAGATTATTCATACAAAAAAATAAATTGATCAAATATTAATAGTCATATGATTAGATTACATATGTGTTTAAAAAAAAAAAAATAGACCGTGTATTGTTAAAATAAAAAAATTGACTTATTTTTTATATAATAAATGTAATATAATCATATAGCTACTGATATCTATTCCACTTAATTAAATATAAATAGTTTAGATCACAAAAATGGACTAGATATCAATAGTTACATGATTAGATTGCATTTTTTTAACAAAAAATAAATCAAAAATTTAATTTTGACAATACATGGTCTATTTCTTTTTTTAAACACAAATATAATCCAATCATATGACTATCAATATCCAATCAACTTATTTTTTACATAAATAATTTTTTTGAGAAATATTAAATATAAATAGTTTAGACCAGAAAAATGGGCTTGAGATGGTCCCACAACCCTTCGATTAGTCCTCCGGTTTAATTACTAGACTAGAGCGAAGCTTAGTACTCTACGTGCAAAAAAAAAAAAAAGATGGAAAACCTTGTATCTTTCTCACCCCCTTTCTTTTCCCATATATTTTTTATTATAACCAAACATAAATAGGATTACATTTTTCATTCCTTTTCCAAATCCCACCCTAAAAATCCCAACCAAACACAGCATAAGTTGGAAAGAAAATGAACTTCAATCACTCATGTGTTTCTAGAATTTAATTAAAATTAGCATTCATAGGAGCTTCAATAAAAATAGAAATGAATAAATGTAATTCTATCACCCAATCTAGTGATCTCAAGAACCATAACATGTTCCATTGGAGGGCATGTGGTAAGCTATGCAATGTTTAATTATCAAACTCTTCTTCTTCAATTTAGTGTAAAAATTTATCTGTCATTTTCACATTAACATTAAGAAATTGTACATGCCAATTTGCAGAAACTACATCTCTGTGATAGTTAGCGGCGACAAAACAGGAAGGCTAATGAAATATGATCCAAAAAGCAAGGAAACAACAATTCTTCTTGAAAATCTCACATATCCAAACGGAGTAGCACTAAGCAAAGATGGCGATTTCATTCTTGTTGCTGACACCACTAATTGCAAAATCTTGAGATTGTGGCTCAAATCATCAAAATCCGGGATAGTTGAAGATTTTGCCCATCTCCCGGGATTTCCAGACAACATTAGGAGGAACCTCAAGGGAGAGTTTTGGGTCGCAATTCATGTGAAGAGATGGAAGATTTTGAAATGGCTTCTCTCATATCATTGGGTAGGAAATACTTTGATTAAATTTCCTTTTGACATTACAAAATTATATTCATATCTTCCAAAATGGAGAGTGTGTGGATTGGCAGTGAGGTTAAGTGAGGATGGTGAAGTGTTGGAAATATTGGAAGATAAAAGAAGAAATGGATGGAAATTTGTTAGTGAAGTTGAAGAGATAAATGGAAGTTTGTGGATTGGATCTATAAGGATGCCTTTTGTAGGGATACAAGAAAGAGTAGTTTTTCATTACTATGAAGAGATGGATTATTTTGTATTAATGGTCCTATATTGTAAAGGGAAGATAAGGAGGAAATAGAAATTAAAACTCTACTACCACCACCTCTAAGTATAAGTTGAGAAATTGGTGGAAAGAATTATGAATGTATTTATGATATGTAGTAAAAATGGCAAATTATACCAGTAGTGCCTAGATTTTGTCCTTTGTTTCGTTTTGATTTTTATATTTTCTATTAACTCAAATTTGACCTTTAATTTTAGATTTTAATTCAATTTGGTCTAATTAAATAACATTATCCAAATTTTTGAAGGAAAATGATCACTGAGTTGGTTGAACTTAATTAATTGAATTGATTAAGTTTATAATTTTATTCTTAAAAGCATGATACATACCACTTCTGTGTAGATTTTTCATAATAATAAAAAAAAATGCTAACAGTTGTAATCAATTAAATTAAATTGAGATAAAGTTATAAATTGAAAATCAAAATATTGAGCTGATTAAAATTACAGAGATTAAAATAATACATAGACCAAAATATAGACTTTCAATGTAATTTGCAAAATTAATCCATGCAAGTGGGGCATACAATGAACTTGAGATAATTGTATTAAACTAGCGTTATGCCCGCACAATGTATAGGATGTGAAATTTTACAATTAGCTTTTAAGAAAAATATTGGGTAAATTATACTAATAGTCCCTATAATTTAGGATTCGTGTCATTTTAGTTCTTAACTTTTCAATTGTAACATATTTGACCTTGAATTTTGGATTTTATTCCAAATAAGAACAATTTCACATACTATTACTCAATTTCAAGGACAAAGTCGTCAATTTGATTAAATATAAATTAATTTGACAAAACTAAATGTCAAAAAAGGATATTTAAATTTTAAAAAATTATTTCTATCCACCAAAGATAAAATTATGTAAAATTAATAAATTTTTTACATATTTATTTAAATTTTTTTTACCAAATTAATTTTTATTATATGTTTGGATAATGATTATGTAATGGGTGGTTGTTAGACTTTTAATTTGTAATCGAAATGTTTAATATATGATATATTTTTAGTTTTGATTTTTTTGATTTAATAGATTGATTTAATAATAATATCAAAGTTTTCACTATATTTGACTTTTTGAAAAAAATATAAACTAATTTAATGAAAATAAAAGCAACCACCCATTACATAATCATCATCGAAACACATAATAAAAATTAATTTGGTAAAATAAATAAATAAATAAATGTGTAAAAGATTTATTAATTTTACATAATTTTATCTTTAGTGGGTACAAATAATTTTTTAAAATTCATAAATATTTTTTTAACTTTTATTTTTGTCAAATTAGTTTATATTTTATCAAATTGACAACTTTGCCCTTAAAATTGAGCAATTTTATTTTCAATTGTCCTTATTTAGAACAAGATTCAAAATTTAGGGTCAAATGTGTCAATGTTGAAAAGTCAAGGTCCAAAATGACATGAGTCCCAAATTATAAGGACAATTAGTGTAATTTAGCCAAAAATATTTTCAAATCCATAAGGCCATGTTTGTTTTGCGACTTAAGTGGCCGAATTGGACTACCATGGTTGTGGGTCCCATACACAGCATGTTTGATACTGAAATGGGAGGGCGAATTGATATTCCAAGGGACTTAGTAATCCCCTTCAGTAGGGGGATTAGCTTGGTTGGATTTTGGATGGATTAGAAAAATAGTGAGAGGATTAAATCTATTTTATATAAATCTTTTTTTTTTTTTTTTTAACCAAGTGCTCCTATTTGTTTTAATATTTTTTTTTAATTTTTTTAATATAAAAATAATTTATTTATTTATTTTATGTAAAAATAATTTAACATCCTATCACTCACCATCTCCTATACTATCATCAAAATAAATACATTTTTACTTAATCCCCTCACTAACAAGCCATACATTAATAATCTCTTCACTAACCATTATCTTACTAATAATCTCATCTAACCTAATCTGCCAAACAAGCGTGGCCTAAAAGTCGAGAATTTTATGTTTATGAAAAACAAAAGATTAATAACAAGTTATTTCAATTTTTAGGTCTAATCTTTAAGAGTTTTTCATTATTGTTAAAACGTGTGAAATGTCCCACAAAAAATAAAATAAAATAAAACAAAACAAAATAAAATAAAACATGTGAAATGAGAATTTTATTGTATAGTTTTCACCATCTTAGTATAGGTGGAATTCAACACTTAAAGGCCCATGATTCTTTATGCCTAAATTTTTATATTCTCTTATCCGTCTATCTAAAAACCTTACAACTATTAAATTATTAAAAATCTCGAGTTGCTGTTTAATTGATGTAGTTCTCGTTTGGTAAATATTTTGGAGCTAAAAAAATATAAAAAGACAAAATAAGTTATATAAGTCAATAAGACAAAATGTCACATTTAAACCATAATCATTACACTTTTTTTTTCTCACACAAGTTAAAAAAGCTCAAAAACAAAAACCAAACAAGGCTAAAATGACAGGCTAAAAAAGTCCCAACACAAAAAAGTTGGCTACCGTAGCTAATGCTAAATGAAGCTGTAAATGTTTTGGAATTGAGAGACATTTAATGTGTTTGATTTCAGTTTTCTGAATTGAGTTTTTTAAAAATTGGGTTTTTTATTTTTCATGTTTTTTTTAATTATTTTTTCATGAATATTTTTAAAATTTTAAGCAATTTTTTGTCTTTTTAAGTGCACCTTATTTAAATGTATCTAAATAGTGAAATATTTATAAAAACAATATTTTCAAAAATTAATAAATATACAAAAATATGAGAAATGTACTGAATTTTTATATTTTTTTTTTGTATTTTTGGTATTTAGTAGATTTTTTAAATATTTTTTTTCACAAATATTATAATTTTTTAAGTGTATATATACTAGGTCTATCTAAAAATTAAAAAAAAAATTACTTAAAACATTAAAAAATTCATTGAAAATATAAAATACAAAAAAATAAAAGTAAAATTTTTTAAAAGGTGTTTGTTGAAAATCAAAACCAAACAAGCTGATTGATATTTGGGGATAGAGATCTCGTGTCAATCTTTAAGATTAGTATTGTGTAGGGGTGTAAATTTGGTCGGACCCATGTCGGGCCTCACGGGCTCTCGCCAAAATTCGGCCGGGCTGGGCTAGCCCATGAACGAGAAAATTAGGCCCAAGCCCAAGGAGTATTTGGGCCTTGGGTGGGTCGATGGGGCAAGCTCGGGCCGAGTCGATGGGCCTGGGCTCAGGCTCGGGCTCGGGCTTAGGCGGGATTGAACAAATTTTTTGTTTTTTTTATTTATTCTACCAAAATTTTATTATTTTTCATTAAAAAAGACATTGGGCCTCGGACAGGTTGGGCCTTGAGTGGACTTAAACGGGCCAATAGATCGGGTCATAGGCCAGGCTAGGCTTCAAAATGATGGCCCAAGCCCAGCCTTAGGGTCTCGAGTTGGGCTTGGGCTTGGGTTCAAACGGGTTTAAACAAGTCGGGCCCACCTCAGACTGCGGATGGGTTTCGAACCGTCCAAGGGTCATGAACCATTTTTACACTCTTAGTATTATATCAGATTGCATGGAAATCATTACAAAAAGTTACATAGATCATTTACAGCAAAAACTAATTTAATACTATCAAATTCTCAATTTTTCCAAACAATTAAAAAAAAACTTGTGCCTCGTAAAGGTTTCCATGAAAGAGGAAGAAAATATAAATGGAAATACAATTTGAAGTGATCATTCAAAGGGGTAATTGCGAACCGCAAAGGTAGGAGATAATTATTGAATAATACTAAAACATCATATGACATTATTTATTTTGTATCTTAAATCAATCATGTGGTAAGAAATTTTATGGGTAAAACATATTAACTCATCTATATTAAATAGCTAAGAGATAAAAATTTATCCAATTAATGTGCATTACGTTTGTTTATTCAGTGAGATATCATGTAAATAGTGCCATATAGTAATTTTAAATAGTTGGTTTTATTATTGGAAAAGTTGAGTGAATTCTTATTTATTTATTTATTTTTAGTGTTAATATTTTTAGTCAAATACAAACAAAATTAGATTTTTTTTTTTTTTTTTTTTTTTTTTGGGTTACTTGATTAGCTAAAAAGTAATTGAAAAGGTGAAAGCTTACTTATGGTAGATATTTTTGACATGACATTATAATACGACGTGAAACGTATACGAAATCACCTGGATAGGGTTGACTGTTTTCTATCACAAATAAGTATATGACACGGTCCGATAACACAAATATTAAAACAAGTTACGGTATTGTTAAATTTGCATAACATGAAATTGATATGAATAATTCGTTTAATAAATAATTAATTATATACTTTAGTATTATTTCTACTAAGGTGTATGTAAGTCCATTTATCTCATTAAAAGGTATGTAAAAAAAAGTTTTTGTCTATATTTTAGAGTTAATCTATCAAAAACTATTACAATAAGATGCAAGTTTATTAAATTAGGAACATAAAATTGAGTTAAAATCAAATATTCTAATGAATAATTTTATTCAATAGAAATTAGTTTCATTAAATTTAACTTTTATAGATATTTTTTTAATTTTTTCACACACTTGATAATTTTAACTACAGATGAAATGTTTTGACATGACACATTAACACAACACAAACTGTATAGATTAAAAAAGAAACGATACAATAACACGAAATAATAAATGAATTGAGTTAAAGCTGAGGTAATTCTAACACGAATTCAAAATAACACGACATAAACACGACCTGATATGACACGGTGCTCATCCCTATTTTCTACAAGACTTTTTTTTTTCTTGTATTAATTTGTTTGATATATATAAATGTTTGTTGAGTAGAACATATGTGATGGTTTGTTTCAAGTGACCGCTTGAGCAGTGAAAAGACTGCTCTGGCGGAGATCAAGTGTTCCCAGTAGTTTGTTTTGCAAGCCTAGGGACCGCTTGAGCGAACAAGTGGTCACTCGAGAGAAGACCGCGAGCTCTCAGTATCTCGTTTTTCATACAGAGATACTGAGAGGTATCGTTCACCACTCGAGCGAT